ATGAGTTTTGACATATGACTTTACTACCATTTTACATAACATATATTGCATAAACAATATATCAGTCCCACAACTAAATCAGACAATTATGAAGTTTAAATATTGAATCACTTCAGTGTTTTTATGTTATGTTATGTTTATGTATGACATGATACATGATTTATATTTACAAAGTATGACATTGGGTGGTTGTAATGTAAACGAATTGAAATCAGAGATTTGTGCAATTTATCTTATTTTATTCGTATAATAACTATTATTAACAAGTAAGGTTCGTATCATTTCAGCCCAACATATCATGAACCCAGTATTATTCAAGTAAATCAGTAATTACATGGTACATGTACCTAGGTCAGCTTTAAGCATATAATTGAGTCATTAATACTGAATGTCAGGAGTTAATATATATGTAAATGAATAGAAATATAGTACAAGGTCATAATTTACATTAACGACCAATACATGGTCACCTACACCAAATTACTACATGGTCACCTCCTCAATCTTCACCACTTCCTTCAGAGTCGGTCACATTTTCATCATCATCATCATCGTCATCTATTGAAGTCTAGATTTGTGTTATTGTGATCATATTTGGCCATAGGATTCTCAGCGGTTTGCCAACATGATTTTTCTCGTAGGTCCTCCCTATAATACACAAACGTTGGGCTACTTCATCATTGTCGAATTTTCTTTTTGTTATGCCCCTGGCTCTGCGTAAGCAGGATGGTGTATGAGGCAAATGAAAAGTCTTCACCAATACATTGATGTGTTGTAAACCCAACCACCTATGGTCATTCAATGTGGTGATGAATGCAACCATTTCTTTTAAGTTATATTCATATTATAATACACTAGTTTACCTACTTACATCATGCAAAGATACAAAACCAAAGACAAGTTTAGGAGGCATTATGAACTGTATTACAAAGCTTAACCTAAAATTTAGCCACGAAAGTGCCTATTGTATGTAGCAAAAATTGAACCCTATTCATTGTGGCATTTCATCAAACAGTTGGTGACCATCATTTAATATTGTATCCCAACAAATGGAAAAACACTTTCAACAACACTTTCATAACATACAATTTATAAATTAAACAGATAACAAACCAAGTATTCAACAAAAAATGAATGAAAAGTGTGGACTAACATGAACCCCAACAATTTTGCATGAACAATTCACTACAGGAACATAATGAGAAGAATGCACTTACTTGAAGCATCAAAATGCAGGTGAGGAAAAGGATTTTCGATAGATAATGATAATGGAGGAGATTGATGGTGAGAAGAAGGTCACAAATCAACAAATTTCTTCAACGTCGGTGCTAATATCCCGCACAAGTGAGAAAGGTAACTGTTGGCCAAACTGATTGAATTTCCCTTTTATTTACACGTAAGGTTCGCTCGAGCAACTTTATTATTGATTATTTTTAATTATGACAGATTACTTAAAGTTATAATCGATTAGTTTCAAATATAATCTATTAGAAACAATTACTGTCGATTATTTCTCAATTATAATCGATATTCTTAACTTATAATCGATTATAATATAAAATAATTGATTATTTTATCTGCGCTCGAGCGACAAGTCATTGAAATATGTGGTTACTTAAGTTATATTATGTGGCTAACTATGTTCGACCTTTAGCCTGTGGTCAACACTCACTCAAGCGAGACATCCATCGCTTGAGCGAGGAGACCTGCAAATAAAGGGGATTCTCGAGTTGTGTCTCGCTCAAGCGAGGAAAATCTTGCTCGAGCGACAAGTGATTCAAATATGTGGTGACCCATGTTACATTATGTGGCTAACTGAGTTGGACTGTGGTCAACACTCGCTCAAGCAAAAAATACACTGCTCGAGCGAGGGCACCTACAAATAATGGGCATTCTCGGGTTGTGTTTCGCTCAAGCAATGAAATCTCACTTGAACGACATTTGATTGAAATATATGGTGACTCATGTTACATTATGTGGCTAACTGTGTTGGACCTTTAGTCTGTGGTCAACTCTCGCTCAAGCAAGAAATTCATCGCTTGAGCGAGGAGACCTCCACATGATAGGGATTCTCGGGTTGAGTTTTGCTCAAACGATGCAAATCTCAGTCGAGCGAAAACGGATTGAAATATGTGGTGACCCAAGTTATTGTTAAGTGTTAATGACCAGTTTTCTTTGTATACAACGTATATGGTTAATTGTGATGGACATTTAGTCATGTTTTACTGCTGGATTAACCATACATGTGCTGACCACCCCAAGCTTATCCCAATAACTGAACATAGCAGTTTCATGTATGCATAAACATGCTAACTTTATTGAGTCCAACATATATGATTAACTGCCAATGACCAGTTTTCTTTATATGAAACGTATATGGTTACCTCATTCATAATATATGGTTAATTGTAATGGACATTTAGTCATTTTTTACTGTTGGATTAACCATATATGTGCTGACCTCCTCAAGTTTATCTGTTTAACTGAACATGGCAATTTCATGTATGCACATGCTAATTTTATTGAGTCCAACATATATCATTAATGGTCAATTACCAGTTTTCTTTATATGCAATATATATGGTTACCTCCTTCAGATTATGTGCTTAATTTTGATAGACATTTAGTCATATTTTACTATTGGCTTAACCATATATCTGCTGACCACCTCAACTTTATGTACTTAACTGAACAGGACATTTTGTGTTAATTATATGCTAAGTTTATATAGCCCACATTATATGCTTAACTGTAAATGACATATGCTTAACCACTTTACTATATATCATTAACTGCACATAAACATATATGGTCAACCGAACAACACATCGGAGGAAGATACAATGCTATCACTAATAACATAAAGAGTAATGTATAATATAACATTATCACTGACCACAAAAATTACATGATAAAGGTCGGCATCAAATATAAATTATAATTACAAGAAAACCTAACAAAATAATTCATCTACACAACACTTATGTGACCTTTTTTCTTTTCCTTGAATTAGTCGTCCATGGTGTTTTGACCATAAAACTTTTATACCTTATTCTTGGATGAGCTTTAAGTCGAGTGTACATATTTGACAATTCACAATGCAACTTTGATTCTTCTGTTACTTCAGTATGATGTTTCATCTCCTTAATACTACTACCTTCAAATACAGGAGAAAAGTACATCCCAGATGATGGACGATTTACCTCTTCTGTTGATAGTTTTGCTTCATCTAACAATTCCTGTAATTGTATTACATCCTCCTCTAGTTTTTCAATTGTTGATTCTTTTTGTTTGGTTAGGGCAATCAACAATTGATTCTCAACAATAATTCTACACAACATATTAGTACAATTTTTCAATTCTTCAGATGCATGAGTGGTATGTCCTAACGCTTCTTTCATTATATCATGAGTAAGCTCTTCATTTCAGACGCACAAGTCATGAAAAAATAACCTATGAATAACAAACAATACCAAATTGAAATCATATTTTCACATATGGTAAAGTAATATTGTAAACAAGTTTTACTAAATTTTTAATGAACTAACCCTATTATGATTAAACGCAACTACAATCTTATTTTCCCCAATTACAACATAGGTCCATTGTAAAAATCTTGGAAATTGACTTATCTCATTACATGATTTGGTATTATAAAGTAGATGCTCCCTAGCCCATATCTGAATTCATATAAAAAAAATGCACAATATCAAATCAGATGATTATATTGAAAGTATTCTAACAAAATATATATCGTAATTTAGGATTTACCTGTAACAAAAACACACATCCTAGTACATGCAAGTGTGAACAATTTCTTCGCTTCTTCAAATAAATTGATGTTTCACATAAACTTTCAACCAGATATTCATACACTGCTTTTCCCCAATTATACTTTCCAAGACAATCAATGTCTGCTTCTACAATTTTGACATTTTTCGCCTACTACACGAAGTCCTAAACCTAAACACACATTTAACAGTGTAAAGCATACTATCTCAAACCTTATATTAAACCCTCCTCTCTTTTTAACCCATCTACTTATTAATTCACTAAGCAATGTTCAACTAATTTTAACCTTTCTACCCAATGACATCAACCATTTAAATGGTGTTGACTCAATACGACCTCGTTGCTCTGTTGTAAGAATGTTATTTACTTCACCTAAATAATTTGTCCTACAAACATGTCGTAAATATACCTGAAAATCACAATAAATAATTACAATTATCACAAAGAATATGCAATATTATACAAATAGATACAATATTCACCTTCTTAACATTTGAACATCCATCATCTATGCTTCCATGTCTTTCCATTTCAAACTGCAAATACATGTATTGGGTAAACAAAATTGGAATTTACATGAAACAATCTCCATTTTATTTCTTACATCCTTTGTCAATTTGTTTAATACTGTCAACCAGTCACAAATCAGGTTAGGTATAAATTTTACGACAAATTACTATAAATGTCAACAAACTTACCATACAGTTTATGATTGGATTATAGAATAAAAATAATTTACATTGTCAATGCATATACTATTCACTCATCTTTTGTTTGAGTGTACACTTTTAGAAACAATCTCATAGAATATTGTCAAATTAAGTTCAAAGACAAGGGAATAAAATTTGTTTTCATAACCCATTTGTCTGGGGTCTCTACCAAACACAAAAATGTCCATAATATTGTTTGATATTATAGAAATTTGTTGGTGCTTCATTCCTCTACAAAATCAACATCTCCCAAACAGATTACAACATTTTTCAGCATTCTCACCAAAACCAACCAGTCAATTGATTTCTTCTTAAATAAAAGCCTTATTGAAATTTAGAAATTCTTTAAACGAAGTCCACATTAGAAAAACTCTACAAGGCACAAACAACCAACATATCACAGTTTTCCCAAATATTCAACCCCACCTACACCAGCCATCAAACCTCATGACACACGAACCATCATCACGGTTCCTTCCACTCAAAGCCTGTGACAGTTCATTCTACCACGCCAGTTCCCTCAGCCCTACAACACAAGCCAGTCCAGGGGAGCAACCAACTACCACCCTTTGACTTCTTATCCTTCCTCACCACAAAGTGTTTCTACAACAAAAAACACCAATACTCAAACAACAACAACAACTACTAGCAACATGAGCACAATCTAGAAACACAATAAACAATAGCAAACCCAAAACCACCATTAAATATGAAAGCTCAGTATCAGAATTATATAAATCCAACACAAGTAATCAGAGATGGAGATAAATAAATTAAATTACAATAGCCAAAGGACAGATAACAAATATGTTTTCATTTTCGTTTCTTAAAGAAAAAAAATCATATCAAAATATCTGAGGGGAGATAGTTCAACATATGGCAAGAAAATAGTTCAATACTACTAAAAGGATTGCTTGTAATCCCAACCACCATCAGTTGGTCTAAACTTGGTCTAAACAAAATCATGAACAGTTATCCCAAATCAACTCAAATCATAGAAAATAGGAACTTACCTTCACATAAAGATAGAGAGTAGGGCAAACGATGCAGACAACACGAGCATGACGCCACCACAGAGTGAGAACTTCTTTGGAGCTTCCTCCAGCGTTGGATTAATTAATGCTGCTGATCGACGAATAATTCTTTGAGGGCAGCGACCGTGTGGGAGCTGATGCGCTGAGGACTTCTGAGACTGTGAGCACCGACAGAGAGGAAAGTGAAATACGAGTGGAGAGCGGGAAGGGAGAAAAGAGGAACGAAAGAAGAAATCAAAATTTAAAATTATTTTATGTGCAATTGTAAATTTAATACTATTTTATATGCAGTTGTCGATCAGATGTATGTATGCGGTTGTCAAAATATGGACTGATCACTTAAAACCATTTCCACCACAGTCAATACCATTCAATCAGTGAAATTTAAAAGTAGACATGGATTAAAATACACTAGGCTACCTGCAATGATGTGACTCATATATCATTGAAAGTCGTGAGTGATACGTGAGTGTGTGAGTGAAGTGAGTAGTTGAACAAGGGTGAGGTCCACGTCCTAATTAGGGCTAAATGAAGAAAAGACGTAAATGTTATTTTATATGTACAAGAATAATATTAATGGTGTAAAAACTTAACTATAAAGTGTTAATAATTTAAGCATCAACGTAAAAATAAACATGTAAACATAAATAAACAATTAAAATAAATAAAATTAAAGAGAAAAGGGTTTGAGAATACCTTAAGATTCTTTTTCCCTGTACAACGTCTCTTCTCCTCTCTCCTCCTTTTTTTCTGTTCCCCTCTTTTGTATTTGTAGCCCTTTTTATAAGGGTTCTGATATTTTGACAACAGTAAAAAAAACAACTCAAAAAATAACCCATTTTATTAATATAATAATCATGAAAGAGATTAAATAAAAATGAAAACAAGTTAAAATTATTATTATAATATTAAAAGTGAGTTGTTTGTTAAAGTTGTATAAAATTGGGTTGTCAAAGTATCATTTTTCTTTTTATAAAGGGCGAGAATAGGAAGAAAAAAATAATATCTTGGAGAAAAAGCAAGAGAGAGTGGGTAATGGGCCTAGAGAGATTCAAGAGATAGGAAGAATATATAGGAAACATGGGGTGTAACTGTTGGGGAGTGAAGAGTGGGGGGTTGAGGAAGATATTTTTAAAATATGTTTTCTTTTTTTATTAATTTTTATTATATTATTTTATATGACTTTTATTTTGTTTTATTTATTATTTTAATTATCCGGACAAAATTGAGTGTTGCAGGTTGTTTGCAATAAAGGGTGTGGATTTGTGATGTTGGTTAGCAAGGTTGGTGACAATCATACATTTAGAGTTAAAACACTTGTTGATAGACAAAATGGGGTTGAGTTTATGCTAACAAAAATGCAAATAAAGATTGGTTGTCCAAAGTTGTGATTGGAAAATTTAGAGATGTGGGAAATATGATAGCTAATCAAATCATTGATGTTAAAAGATGTTATAATAGTATTGGAATTAATACATGCAGGGCAATGAAAGCAAAACAAATGGCAAGAGACATATTGGAGGGAGATGGAGAGAAACCGTATAGTCTAGTGTTTGATTATGTGACGAAATCAACAAGAATGTGTTATACGACAACATGCAAGTTTTAACTAATCCCACCTAGTCAGAATTTACAACCTAGGTTTGAGAGTTTTTATATGTGTTTAACTAGTTGCAAGAAAGGATTTTTAAGTGGTTGTAGACCTTTTATCAATGTTGATGATTGCTACTTAAAAACAACATATGTAGTCAACTACTCATGGTTGTAGGGAGAGATCCAAATGGCCATAATTTCCCTATTTCATTTGCAGTAGTGGATAATGAAACCAAAGAAACCCTGAGATGGTTCTTGAATTTACTCCTAGATGATATTGGTGATATCTAAATCAATTGTTGATATATAATAAAATAAGGTGCAAAAATTGAAATAATAAAGTAAGCAAACTTAAGGAACATTCTCACTAGACATTAAGATAGTTGTCTATCTAGATGTGAATATTCATTTCCAAGGATTAAAAGGTGTAGAAGAGGAGAACAAAGCAAGAAAAAAATAAAGACAAGGGTTGAAAAAATGGACATCCCCTTGGATAAATAAATGGTGTGAAGAAATAAAGAAGAAAAGATGAAGAGAAGAAAAGTATGGTGGTGGTGGAGTGTTGGCACGTCACTAGGGGATGAGCCACCCTAGATAAATGGTGGTTTCCGCCACTTGAACCAATGTTCAAAATAAGACAGTCAAAGAGATGAGACACCCTAAGAAACCTCACAAACTTGTCATAAAATGTTCAACCTAATTATATGAGGGGAAACCTTCTATTTATAGGCTTTTGAGAAAGGGACCTAGATGGAATTACAAAGGAGATATAAACTTAACATAAACCTAAAGGCTAAGAGTCTCCATGGTTCAAATATGTTAAATTCATCCTAGCCCACTAAAAATGCCTCAAAGAGTGTGGAGAACATGAAAAGGAGGTGAGATCCCCTATTGGTTGTCCAAAGCCAATCAAACCCGCAAGTTGAGCTTCTACCTCTTCAAAAAGGGGTTTAGGACATGAAAAAAGAATGTCCTACATCTTTGGGTTGTCCATGCATGTATCCTATGGATCCAAGGCTTCTTTCCACCAAAAAGAGGTGGTATTATTCAAAAGGAAGGTGTAAAAAGTGGTCCTATAAAAAGATAGCGAAAATGAGTGCTAAAATTTTAAGAAACAAAAATATACTAAGTAGACTTAAAATGAAGGGTGAGGGAGGAGGATTTCGTTCTAGTCATGCTCCTAGTAATCCTCCTAAGGATGACCTCTCTCGCCTCTGGAACAAATAGGGACTCATCAATCATTGGGTGTTTATATATGATCAACAAAAGGTACAAAATTAACCTGATGCACTAATTCATAATTCATTTGTGCAAGGTCTTACGCCAATTTTCAAGGAGAATTTATAAGGTGTGGAGCATAGGTTCTACCTAAGGCATCTATATTGCAATTTCAAGAATAAATTTGGAGGGGGAGCACTGATAAGAGATTTCATGATGGGAACTACAAACGCAACATACTATTAAGCATGGGAGCCAAATATGGAAGAGTTGAAAAAGGTAAACTTAAATGCATGAGTAGTTAAATTTCCTGTAAGTTGTTATCCTAGGTATGATGTCCTCATTAATAATTTGTTAGAATCTTTTAGCAGTACCATATTGTTAATAAACCTATAATATGGAGTGGGTTAGGACATATTTGATGAGTAGGTTTGCAACTTTGAGAAAGAATCTGTCTAAATATCCTACTAATGTGATACCAAAGTCAATGAAAAGGTTGGATAGAGAGGTTGAGAAAAGTGGAAATTGGTTGCTTGTGTGTTCTGGAAATAACAAGTTTGAAGTTACTCATGGGTTTACAATGGAAAAATTTGTAGTTGACCTTAAGGAGAATACTTGTACATGTTATTTGAAGAAGAATATGTTGGATTTGATGAAATCAAGACAAGAAGGATTCAAGTGTATGTTGATGATATTATCTACTAACAATGATCTTTGTAAGAAATTTGTAAAAGAAATGCAAATTGAGTTTAAAATGTCCATGATGGGGAGTTAAATTACTTCCTAGGATTACAAGTCAACCAGCTGAACAATGGAATCTTTCTTCACCAATCCAACTATTGTACATAATTTCTTAAGAAGTTTGGTATGGAAAGTTGCAAAGAAGCTTCAACTCCTATGTCTACAAGTTGCTACCTTGATGTTGACACAAATGGAAAACCAATAGATTAAACCATGTATAAGGGCTTGATTGGATCACTTATGTATCTCATTGCGAGCAGGCCTGACATCATGTTTAGTGTGTTTTTGTCTGCAAGGTTTCAAATTGCGTTAAAAGAATCACAATTCATTACAACTAAGAGAATATTGTAGTATCTTAAGGGTACCACAAGTGTTGGTCTATGGTATCCAAGTGAGGAACCTTTAAAACTTGTAGGTTTCTCTAACTCAGACTTTATAGGTTGTAAATTGGATAGAAAGAGCAAAAGTGGAACCTGTCATTTTTTATGAAGCAGTTTGGTCTCTAGGAACAGTAAAAAGCAAGTCTGTGTAGCTCTTTCCATAGCTGAAGTAGAGTACATAACAACTGCTGGGAGTTGTTCTGCTTAATCCCTCTGGCTGAAACAATAGTTACAAAATTTTGGATTGCATCTCACCAAAATACCTCTGGTATGTGATAAACACAAGTGTTATCAATCTATCTAAAAATCCAGTTCAGAACTATAGGACCAAACACATTAAAATTAGGCATCATTTCATAGAAATTGAAGTGTTATTAATCTATCTAAATTCCAGTTCAACATTGTAGGACCAAACACATTTGAATTAGGCATCATTTTATAAAAATTGATAAACAATTAGTAGATTTATTCACTAAACTTTTGCCTAGGGATCGTCTAAATATGCTTAGAATTGAACTTGGGATTCTAGACATGGTTACCATTACATATAATCATGTTATATCTTTATTTCTACTACATTAGTTTGATAAAAATCCATCTTAATCGATTAAAATACTAAGAGTAAGGTTTTTTAATTAAGAGTTTCTCTATTTTAATCCACTAAATCTATGAAACAATTGATTAAAATCACTAAAGTAGATTTTCTAGAGTAAGTTTTCTCTAGTTTAATAGATTAATTCATCAAAATAATCAATTAAAACCATTAAACAAAAAATTTAGATATAACCCTCTTTGGATTAATCGATTAATTAAAATTTCTATCAAATAAATACACTTAAATGTTGTTCTAGACATTGATAAACACTTATTTAATTTATTAATTTATTGAATCAATTGATTAAAACACTATATTGCTTCTAGTTTATTCTATATGTAACATAGTTTAATCGATTACATGGTAAAATAATCAATCAAATCGTTCTTGGATCCTAGTTTTTCACTATATTAGCTACAAGTATCAATCTCAAACACACCTCTACATTAAAGACGCTTAAAGAGTGTTCAATTTGGGTCAAAGTTCAAAAGGAAAACCTTAGCCACTCTCCGCAAAAAATAGAGGAATCTGATTGGACAAGAGCTAAAGGACAAAAGTGGTTGACTAGGATCAAACATCAATTACAAGAACAAATTAACTAATGCAATAAAGCAGATTCTCTGCTACCCATTATTTAATTTCTTTACTACTGCAACTAACCAAGGGAAAAGTGTTTCTAACACACTTCAAATCACTACTACAAGGAATCAACACCAGTCAATGTTGTGTTTGACCATTTTTCTCTCTCATTGCATTATATGAATCAAATCATTCCTTTCCATCTAACATCGTTCTTTTAAGCTATTTCACACAAAATTGTATTTTTTAGAAAAAACTAGTCTAATCAATTATGTTCAAGAGGGCCAATATGGAAGAAAGAAAAGTAGAGGTGAATTCTCAAATCCTCAACTTGAAAGTGTTGGAGGACCATGAAAGAATAAATTTCTTCATTCAAAACTTGAGCAGGAAACAAGTGAACATGCCCAAAATTTTGAAATTCCCTTGCTAGATGAGGAGAACCTCAGAGGTCTAATAAACTTGCTTCAACATAGAAAACTATAAACATTTCTTGACCTCTATGATATAATTTATCCAAATAAAAGTATTTTACACTAAACTTACCTTTGAAGGCTCTACTATAAGATCTCAAGTAAAGGGTGTCAACATTGAAGCGACCACCTCTATTTGGAAACAAATTGATAGCCTAAAGGATGAAGGAGTCAAAGTTAATAAGGGTTACACTTCTAAAATAGAAGATTTCAACAAGATCCAGTACTTCAAATCCTGAATGAAAAACAGAGAAGAGTCTTTGAGGGTGCTCAATTATGGAAAACTACATCTTGAGCAAAGGTTACTTGCCTTTATCATTGCTTGGCAGCTAACCCCTAGGGGAACAACCATGCACTACTCAATGAAGGGGATCTTGCACTGATGTATTGTATCCAATATAGGATAAAGGAAAATTGGGTCCTTGTGATCAAGGATCACATACTGAAGGGAAAACAGTTGGTTGATTTTTTATTTCCTTATGCCATTCTAATTTCCAAACTTTTAGTTCATTTTGGAGTTGATACTAATGGTGAGCTTGCAAAGATACCCAAAAGCAGTAATGATATTGATAACTCCACCTTGCATAAGATGAAATTTATTAAAATTGATGGAAATTGGATCTCAAAAGTTGAAGCTAGAATGGATGATGATGATGATGAAGAAGAAGAATAGGAAGAGCAAGGAGCCAACATGTCATCTGGTGCAGCTACTGATGATGTTGTAGAAGGAGATGCTGACAAATAAAACATGGAGACAATCCCATACATGGCCCAACCTGATAAAGGAACTCCTCTGTCACAATTTGAGAGAATGATGTTGTCTCAAAGGAGTGCTCTTCAAGATTGTTATACATACAAGAATATGAAGCTTGAAGATTTTGATGATGATTCAAGAACAAAAGACTTAAAGACTTGAAGACTTAGAACCATGTGTATTTACTTGTAATAACTCTGTTTTATGTTTTTGAGTCTGTATAATTAGAGTACAAGATAGCCAACACATAGTCCATCATCTGAAAATTCATTTTTATCAAATCCACTATGTGATAATCGATTATCACTTAGAATAATCAATTATCCTGCACTGAAAAATTGCTTTTCTGAAAACCTTGCTGTGATAATCGATTATCACTCAGGATAATCGATTATCCCAGCTAGATAATCGATTATTTACACAGATAATTGATTATTCTGGTCCTGTTTTACTCCTCTACGAAAATGGTTTTGTAATAATCGATTATCACTCAAGATAATCGATTATCTACGTCTGTTATGAGTTTTGAAATTCAAATTTGGACCAATTTACGAAAACCCTATTCCCAATTCTTATGTTTTCGAAAATCATTATTTCTCATACCCTATTCTCTCTACTTAAGGTTCTCTAAGGCTCTCTGCAAAATAACAAACCTTTTTAATACAAAAGTTAAGAGCTGTGACTGCTAGAGAACTTTCTATAGGGAAGAAAAAGGGGCTTTTGAAAACCTAGTGTGGGCTAGAAGCGATAAGAATCACTGAGTGTGTTTCTTAGTGGATTGTGTGTTGTGCCGTCTCTAGGAAAAGTTGTTGTTCATTTTTTATGGATTCAAAGGAGGTGTTCATCTCTTGTGTGACTCAAGAGAGGTGTTTTCTGATCCTTATCTTTTTCAATTTGTAATCTGTTGTAACTTGTGATTATAGTGACAACGTTAATCCTCTTTTAGAGTGATTAACAACTGGACGTAGGGTCTTTTGATCCGAACCAGTATAAATCATCTGTGTAATCTTCTTTCTCTTTCTCTATTTACATTACAAGTATTTTAATCGGTGAAATTTGGGGAAAATTTTCAAAACCCTAATTTTTTATAAGAAATCAATTCACCCCCCTCTTGGTTTTTTTCTCTAAACGCGAACATTCCGCTGCGCGATTCTAACAAAGAGGGTCATAAGATGCACATGCAAATGACATATAGGCACTATGAGGAGTCCAACGCCAGACTTCAACATATAGCTAATCAACCTGAAGATCTATACAACCAGATTGAAAATTTGTAGTTCAACCAAGGACCATGGGAGGATTAAATTTTTCATTTCCGTTGCATTATATTGGTTTGATGTCCTATGTTTTTTGAACATTTTTTGTTCTTCTAATCTCTTTATGTTGTTTTTCTCTATGATGGGTTATACTTATAACTAGTTTTATACGAGAACCTATTCTACTGCATTAAATATCTTATCTTTAGCTTGATTCATGAAGGCTTTTTTCCCATTTTGATGAAGTTAAAAGGGGGAGAAGAATGATGATTGGATAGGCTGGCTAATAAGAATGGTGATTGGATAGGATGGTTGCGCTGCACGACACACATAAACACATTTTAAGTTCTTTTTGCATCATGTTGTTTGTCTTCATCAAATAGGAGTGATTGAAGAAGAATATGTTGGATTTGATGAAGTAAAGATAAGATGGATTCAATATGTTGTTGCTTGGTGTGCATGTGTTTAATGTGTCATAGTATGTAAGCTATAGTCCATTCTCATGATAATATTGTTCTAAGTTGGAGTGAATGCCTCACTTCATTTGATTTTGGTAAAAATTGTTTTAATATGTTAAAATAAGTGCTAATCAGTCAAAATATTCTTAAACAATATTTTTAACTGATAATTTTTTGAAATAATCAATTAATTTCACTTAGAAACTTTATTACCCTTATGTTTCGCAAATTTAATTGATTAAGTTATGTTTTCATGAGTTAAAATATTCTAGGTCATGTTTTTTTAAAAAAATTGGGTTCGTTGGTTTAATCAATTAATATACATTGTCATTAATTAAAAAAATTTATGAGTATTTCAAAATTTTTGCTAAGTATGTTTTAATCAATTATTCAGTCTTGTCATTAGTTAAAAGTTTGAATAGAACTTCCAGATTTTATTGTCTCTTTACTTTAATTGATTAATCTTGTTTTTATTAGTTAAAACATCTTGCTATACTTAGAAGAAAATTTTGGTGGCTTTGTTTTAATTGATTAAAAGTGTTTGTTATCAATTAAAACAACTTACTTTGTTTTTCAGTTTTTACTATTTTATTCAATTAAAATCACAAAACAATTGACTAAATGCACGTTTTAATTGATTAAAACTGACAAAACTTCCTATATAAGCATTATTGTTTTCTCATTCAAACATACGATTTTATCAATCTTTTGAGCGATCTTTGAGAAGGTTTTTGATAAATAATTCTACACTAATATTGTGAAAGCACTTTGTAATAGTACTTCTTGATGTATTCTACATTCTCTTGGAAGAGATTTCATTGAGTTTGCATTATTGCACTTAGGCTATTTTTTGTGTAATCTTCTGGGTGAATTTTATTCTTTATATTTTTTCTTTCAATTGGTGGTTCTTGAAGTTGGGTATTGGTTTTTGGCGACCTGGTGTGGGTTGTTGGTTATATCAAGAGTTGTTCTTAAGTGTTCAAGACTCTCTTAGGGTAGATAGGTTTTTGTCTACTGGTCTTGTATGTAATATGGATATTTGGTTTGGTGGAATTTAGTTGGTTATGCTAAGAACTGGATGTAGCTTGGTGGTGGGGGAAATAAGTATAAATTGTTGTGTTTTGTCTTTCTTTTCTTTAGCTTCTTGAACTACATCTTGTTTTTTGTGATACTCTTCAATCAATTCTTGAAAGATTTGATTCTAATCTTGGAGAATTTGTAATTTGCTCAAGTTTTCTAAAAATATTTTAAAAGTTCAATTCATCCCCCTCTTAATCTTGGTCATTATTCTTAACATTATTTTTAAGAGTTTGTGGGTATCCCTTGCAAACCTGTTGTTGTAATTGTGTATAGGCTAGAACAACCTAAGGCCAAGAATAAATTAACAAATTCTATCTTTAATACATAAGACACCTCGAGGAAGAGCTAGAAAATTAAAGAGAAGAAAAACTAATGAGTCTATGAGCCATTCAAAGCTTCCGATCATGAGGTGCAATCTCAATCATCAATTTGACCATAACTCCAGAACTTGTATACAATCTATCATGTGAACTTGTATATAATGAATTATATTAATGCTCACTATATATGTAGGATAAAGAGAATTTCAAAACAACAAAAACCACAAGAAGAACAAATAGGAGTAAAGGTTTCACCTCTAGAATGACACATCAAACCATATCCAAATCTATTCAACCAATACTAGGAAGGAAGACCACATATGTTCAATCCAACTCAACCACACTAGCAAAGAAGGGAGGGATGAGAACTATATCTCATTATGACCTAATTTTAAGGTCCCAAGCTAATTCAACCAACACCAAGAAGAAAATATAAAGGTTATTGGGAGTTGTGATGTTTTGGTCCAGACATGGTACAAGTAGTGCCAGTTTTGGACTATTAGACAATTGATGTGCAAGTTATATTATAATATTATAGACCACTTGCATAGCAATATTTATGAAAAATTTGTATTACTTTTTCAATTTTTTGTTTGGAATGGTTTTTCTATTCACATGTTATTCAATTCAATTTAAAATCAGGAACAAAACAGGAGCATCATAAAAGATTAAACACAACAATTTTATTCAATACAATTTTTTTGTTAAAATGGACGGTCCAACTTAGTTTGACCTGACCCGGTGGGCTAAGTAAAAATAATTAATGGTCTAATATAACCTATACGTTATAATTTCAGCCTAGCATAACCCTATTAGGCCAATAGGCTAATGGGCCGAACTTAACGTGAAAAAAATATATATTGACATATTTTTATCACAATAATTAAAAATATATTTTAAAATAATAAAATAGTATATTTTTAATTTAAATTATATTAATAAAATTAGTTTATTTAAATTATATTAGAAAGGATCCATTTAATCTCCAAGTTAAAAACATACTCTTATCATCATTTTTATTTTAGTAATTTATTGATCTAAAATAATAATTAATATTCAAATTAAAATAAATGGATATTAAAAACTTACTTTCATATTAATTAAAACTATATTTTAAAATAATATATTTTTAATTTAAATTAAATTAATAAAATTAATTTTTATTTAAATTATAAAAAATAATTCATTTAATATCCGTTAAAAATTTATTTTTTATTATCATTATTCTTATTTTAATAATTTATTGATTAAAATAATAATTAATCTTAACTTGAAAGTAAATCATTATTAAAAACTTATTGTCTATAAAAAAAATTAAATATTAATTTTTTAGAATATTTTTTATAAAAAATATAATATTTTTTATCTCTTATTAATTATTATAAACTTCAAATAACAATAATTTTATTATATTTTTATCTTATTTTAATAAAAAAATTAATTTATTTTTTTATATTTTATATTATTACTAATAATTAATTATATATTTGTTATATCATAAAAATATTATTTTATTAAATTTAATTTGAATTTTATTGAATCTCAATTATCCTTTAAAATCCAAAATCTATACTTTCACCGGTAAAGAGATAACGTCAAAATTTTTGATTTTGATATCAATGGACGGGAGTGAAGGCATAACGGACATTAAGACTTCTAGCAAACTACAAAATCAGAAAAGAAACATTAAAATGGAGAATGTAAAATCTACCAAAATATTGTTATTTTTAATCAAACTGAGAATATATATTGAAAAAGTGTCAGTGTTCATAACATGTGACCCATGAATAGCCGAAAGCCCCAAAATGGAGAGAAACTACTGCACCATCTCAACGGTGGCGTGAAGGCGAATGAATCCAGTCCATGCCATCGTCAATGAAACCTTATAAGCATTATTTCTCTGTTACTGATTCCTCCAAACAAACAAAAAAATCCCAGATTCGTGGACCAGATTGATATTTGTCTAGTGGCTCTAGCCATTTTCCAGACGCATCAACCGCCACACCCTTCACCTGTTAAAAACAAAAAACTGCATGCCGTCAGCCTCGATTTTTACTCAAATTTAAAGGGAAAAAAGAAAAAGGCCAAACTAGGCTGTCGGAGAAAATTAATATTTAACAGACCACACTAATACGCAACAAACCATAAATGCTCAACAAATAAAAATTTCATTAAATATTTTGGTAACTAAAACCATAAAAATAAAAATTCTCAACATCCAATTGAATTTATTAATGCTCTATGGACCACAACTTGTTTTCTTCAAGAAAAAAGAGTAAATTTTAACGTGACATGTGTAGGCGGATCCAGGTGGAATCGAACCACCAACCTCCCATAGGCAATAGCAGTTGGGCACTCATTCCAATTCGAGCTCGTGGATCCATCATATCATTCAGATAGCATACAAGCAAGAATATTGTAACTGATGAAATTAAGCTTAAGATATTAACCAACAAATTATCTGATTAAGGGGAAAGGATTTCTGAAATGATAAAAATGAAAAGGGTAAAACACTTCGAGTAAATTTTGAAAATAAATGCAAACTACTTAAATCATAGTATGTACTGAACAAAGTTATTTTAATCATAGACCTGTCAAGCACATAAACATTAAAACCAAATTACCAAGCCCCAAATACACACCTATTAACAATTTCAATATTGGTAAAAATAAAACCATTATTATAAGAACACATATACACGACGTAGGAACCGATTTAAGCTTGGGCAAAACAATCCAGAGAATTTTCACTAAAAGGCCGTGTGTGGTTCAAGCTGCTTACTTGAAGCAGCAACGTACCATCTCCTGCCATTTAATAGTGTATATAGTCTAGGGAAACATTCAACTGTAAATTACTCTATGAATATTCCATTTCGACCGAGAAAGTACATAAAACTGATCCTATTATGATCCTTCAGAAAATTAATTAGGATTTTATCGAAACAAAACATATTCAATCGATTAACTCCAAAAAACAGAAGATCAAACCGATAATCGACCACCTCTTCCCACAACATCTTATTCACCAAATAAATTTACAAAACCGAATACTTAACACCGATTCTAAGCATTGGGAAACAAGGTATGTAATAAACAAAACAAGCTATTAGCATCTGCATAATGATAGATGAGATCACTAGTGCGCCTGCAACCGCCATCCTGCACCAAATGATCTACTTCAAAACATTTACAAAAATACATGGAAAAACTGTTTCAACATATTAAAAGCAGGGTAGGTAGAAAACAATCGAGAGACAAATACTTTGTTCCTAAGTACTACAGAAGGAGGAAATTTCCAGTAACAATGACCAAGGTTATGAAAAGTTGAGAACATCCACCAATTTCAGGAATATGTCAACAGTATATAAACCTAACGCTAGGAATATGTCACTGCATATAAACAAACATGTGTTTACGTATATGTAACAGGACAGGCCATAAAACAATCGTTGATAGTAATGCAACTTGGTTTATTGTTGATCCAGCATCGTTGGTTGTTGAAGCACCGAAGTCAAATCTCTTGATAAATAACCACACAATGTTTCCTATCAGTAAAGGATTAAATCAAAATTTCCATAAGGTGAATGAAGATTAACATCTACCCTGCAAACAGAGCATAAATTATGTCAGAAAGAATCCAATTTCAATCACCAGTAAGGACTAATTCAATTTAAACATGCAACTATAACCAAAAAGAGCATTATTAATCATAGACTCTAAATAAGATTAATTATTTAATTGTATCCTGGGTAAATGACTACCAATGTTATAACAATATAGCAATTATGCTAGACAATAACATAACTTAGTGCTCATACAATTGTATGTTAATGAATAGATTAACATCGTGAACTCAAACTAACCCTTGATACAAGGAAAAAACTGCAAATTGCAAGTATACACGTAAGCTGCTTCTAAATTCCATGAATAGACTGCAGGGAGAGTAAATAGAAGCATTAGAACCAGAACCATATCCATTACCATAAACAATCATAATCGTTCAAGATCAACACAAATACCTAAAAGTCTGAAGACCCTTCCCTGCTTGGCTAAATCAGAAGAACACGTACTTTCATCCTCTGCTCGATCTCTCAGATTCACCATTCAAATATCTAAACTCAAGGAATATGTAAAGCCAGCCGCACAGTGCTTCACAAAGTTCAAGTTTGATTTGATGCTGATCCAAAACAGAGTACCGCAGATACAAAGAATCTTGAAGCTACACTAGGCACAGTTATTTATAGCCATCTGTAATCACTGCCTCAATTGTACCATGGCAGATTTTTTGAAACATCACGAGTCATGTACAAGTTCCTAATAGTAGCTAAGTAATACAGTTGCAGTAAGACATACAGCACGATTCTACATGGAGACAGTTACTGATGTCTATAGATGTAAACTTGAAGAATGGTAAAAGATACAAGGATTTAGTAATCCAAAAAAACAGAAATATATATATATATAAACATGAAAATAAAAAATGAACCAATCATATTAGATTCTGCATCTGATTGAACAAGTTGATGTGCATGAGCGCTCAACAAAGAATATAAATATTTGCACACTGTTTATCGTAAATCCTAACCCATGTTGATTCAATTCTGTTCTAAATTAAAAATTTGAAACGAATATTAAAAATTTAGCTATACTTTAGTTTCTTGATTAGTCTTTGATCAATCCAAGTTATAGTGAGCAGACTACATTTGCTCTAATTACTTCGAGTTATTTAATAGTTTTACTCTAGTAATTTATTGGAAGCCGCTTTCAAATCAATTCTAATAATGTGAAAACAGATTACAGAATGGTAGTGTATAAATGTGTAAATAAATCATTTTTACGAAACTGTAAAAACATAATCTCAACGAATGCATAAAATATGCAGAAATTGTAGCATTTGCCTTTCATTTTAATTACGATTCAATAAAACCAAACTATAAATTGATTACATACATGCATCGAAATGTTAATTATATATTGCAGAATTGAATACGGAAATTCATAAACAGCGAAATTATAACTAAAATAAATTAAAGTGTGCGTTCAGCACCATGTACCTTGCCGTGTAGCCAATCGTTTTGTCAATTTGTTGAGCCGTTACGCGGAGCGCGAACTAGAATATAGAAAAAAAATTCACAGGCAGAAAAGAAAGACGAAGGAAGGGAAAGGGGAAAGCAGAACACACGAGGGAGAGGGAATAGAATCGGGGCAAAAATGAATTAAAACAAAAAAAAACACCCCCGATACTTCCCTCCCCCCAAACAAAAAATTATAACCATTTTATTAACGCTTTTCGGACCCGCCATGCAAGCGCACCTGACATGGCAAAGGTCCATTAACAAGAGCTATCATCAGAACAACTACCTTACACATACCTCTCGCAACTATAACCTCAAATTATACCAACCTGATCCAATAACCACAGAATATATAATCTCCTAAACGATATTTACCAATACAACCTGTTCCGGTATCAGTCAGATCAAGTATCAGCCCAATCAAAGTGACTTAAACCAGAGCACTCGGTGTGTCGTTGTAGAAGACCCATACGATCACGAATAGGATGGACAAACCAGACATCTTGGATGTTGGTTTCGCGTATGATACCTGACCAAGTTAGGTTGACTTCTTGGAGGACAATCCCGGACAGTATTTACCTGCTTCCACAACATCCGGTACAACAACGATTCAGGAGGATTGGATCGATTGTTGGTCATCTGGAAGGCACTTAACCAAAATTCCACGACGAATCTCACGTTAATTACTCTGTTTCGAGTCTTTCGACACGAGACCATCAACATCCGCTACAGAAAAGCCACGATCACCACCACCAGCAGCACTGAAACCTAACAACAAAAAACCATAACCGATTAAAATTAACTGAAAATTCGCACAGGTACACCTACTATAACTGACCTAATAAATTGACGTCGAATTAAACGATTACTTACATGTGTAAAACCAACCCTACTCGCCTCCGTGGGAATTGATACGACAGAACCTGCGGTTAAATATCCCTAACAACCAGAACAAGGTTTGATATGCGATACAAAAACTGAGAATTTGACTTGGACCGATGGAAACGAGGGTTTGATGAGTCACGCAAAACGGCCAAGTGCAAAGCGATGGAATGGAATGTTGAAGCGATCGTTTTATATAGAAAGGAATGTGAAGATGATCAACGGTTTTGATTGATTGGAAACGGATTGACCCAATGGTGCGGATTAGATGAGTTGGTTGCGCGAAAATAATTGCCGAATCGGCGAGTCTTGTTAGTTTTGTTGGGTAAGGTATTTGCGGTAACAAGGAAAAGAAGGTTCTCGATGACGTAGATATTCGTACCTGACACGTTTTTTATGTGTTTCGGAAATTCATAATTGGGTCGTTTTTTGGGCCGATTGTGTTTGCTGGGCTTTAGACGAGGTGTTTCAAATACAAAGTTGCAGATCTTTTTTAACGTTTCATTGAGAGATAATATTCTAAATAAATTTACGTCCTAATATTATTATTATTATTATAATTAATCTCATAAATAATATATTTGAAATAAAAATTATTTAAATAAAATTATTTAAATTTATTTATTTAACTAAATCTATTTATGGTTTATATAAAAATTTAATAAAAATAAATAAATTTATATAATATAATAATGTTATTTTTTAGTATATTTTTCTCTTTTTTTTATTTTTTTTTCATTTTCTCTCATTTCATCTTATTGCTTAATTAAAAATATCAAAATTAAGATTTAATAAAGTGAATCTTTTATTATTTCTAAAAAATAAAAATATTTAAATAATACATAAATATTATAATTTAATATATTATATTTAAAACATATTATATCATAATTTTGAGATATTACAAAATATTATTGTTAGATTATAATGATTAAAAAATTAAATATCTATTTTAAAATAATTTTTTTAATAAATATATTTTTAAAATGATTTGATCTAATTAGTTATCATAACTCAACCTAGTTATAATTGGATTAAATTGTCAGTAAAAAATATATTTAATTTATAAATATTTCACATTTTTAATTAAATAAGTAATTATATATTATAAAAATAATTTTAAATTAATTATTTATTTGATCATAAATAAAATTATTTATTGTCATAATAAATAAAATTATTTATTGTCATAATAAATAAAATTATTTATTATCATCATAATTTTAAATAATTAATATTTTTTTAGTTTTAATATTGATTTTAAAATATTTATTTTTATTAAAAAAATATATTAGTTTAACTATATAGAATAAGAGGAGATGAGAGAGAAAAGCAAGAGACATAGAAAAAGATTTAATAACAAATTTTGATTATTTTTGTTTTTAAAGTTAAAAAAAATTATTTTTTTAGTAAAATAAATCTTTTTAATATTATTTATCCAAATAAATTTGTTTATTATGTAAAGTCATAATTGGAGTACGAAGTAACTGAATTTCAAACTAGAAGATATTTACGAAGTTAAAAATTCAGGTGATTTTTTTTTTATCATTTTGTAACATATTTTAAACATTTATATATTTGATATTTTAATATTTATATATATATATATATATATATATATATATATATATATATATAAAAAGAGGTTATAACATAAAACCAATTCACAATACGTGAATTAGTCCAACATGTCATATGAGACTTTTAACATGTCCCCTTCACCGAATGGTACTTTTGACCCACAACGAAAGGACAACTCTTGGCCCAAGACAATAAACTGGACAGATGTTAAGTTTTGGCTCGATACCATATTAAGGTTCCAACATAAAATCAATTGGTAATATATGAATTAGTATAACATGTATTTAAACCATACAAAATAACATGAGATAAGCGACGTGAGACTTTCAAAAAAAAAAAATATATATATATATATATATATATACATTTATATTTTATATACATATATTAAAAATTATTAATATTATTTTATCTGTTATAGCTAAGTAATATTAAAAATAAAATAAACCCGATTTATATTTGTTTATTATTTCATTTGATCACTTAAAAATAATATTATAACATTAAATAATATTTATTTTAACCTTTTAATATTTTCTATCATAAATTTAAATATTTATTATTTTAGCAAAATATTTATATCAAATCAAATCGATTAATATTATATTAAAATTAAATATAATCGTTATTAATACAAATATTATATGTATTATTAAATATATAAATATAAATATATTTTAATATATTTAATAAAGTTATATCATCGTATATATATATATATATATATTTATTAAATGCATAAATACATAATTATATAAATATATTTTTATTATATATATATATATATATATATTTATTAAATATCAAAATATATAAATGTGTAAAACTATATAAAAATATATACAAATATATAAATATATAATATTCAATATCTCTTTATTAAATATATAAAAAAATATTTATTAAATATAAAAATATATAAATATGTCTTTAATTTTTTATTCAATTATCTAAAAATTGATTTTATATAAATATATAAAACATGAACTAAGTTGTTTATATTATCTTATCTAAAAATACTAATAAAAGAATTCATTTTTTACAATTCTTTTATTGTACATATTTTTATTATTTTATATTTGATATAAATGTGTAAAACTATATAAAAATATATACAAATATATACAAATATATAATATATATACTATTCAATATGTCTTTATTAAATATATAGATATATAAAAAAAATATTTATTAAATATAAAAATATAAAAATATGTCTTTAATTTTTTATTCAATTATCTAAAAATCGATTTTATATAAATATATAAAACATGAACTAAGTTGTTTATATTATCTTATCTATAAATACTAATAAAAGAATTCATTTTTTACAATTCTTTTATTGTACATATTTTTATTATTTTATTTTCAAATAATAATAATAATAATAATAATAATAATAACTATTTTTAATTATGTTGTATATTTAGAAAAGAATAGAAAGAGTAATGAAATAGTTATGACTTGTGTGTTTACTGTTTTTAAAACAGTTTTTATTTTTATAAATTAAAATTTTTATTTATTTAGTAATTATTTTATTAAAATAGGTTTTGAAAACTGTTTATATTTTTTAGTTTTTAAAAATTATAAAAATAAATTTGATAAAAAATATTTTGTATTTTACTGTTATGTTTTCTTAATTATTCAATTTTTATGATTATAAAGTTATCAAAATTATTTTTCAACTTTTTATGACATATTGTGGTCATTTATATAATTTTTTTCGTTTTAAATAAAATTATTAAATAATTTTGTTTTCAACTTATTTTTAAAAATAGTTTTTTAAAATTAATCTCTAAAGTTATTTTTAAATTAATTAAAAAACAAAATTAAATCAAATATACAAGCCATTTTCTAATTATGTTCAATTATTGGTTCTTTATGAGTAAATAAAAAAATTTAGCTTCAATTTAGTTATGATTATTGAAGAGATATTAATTCTCAACTTAGTTCAATTAATAACCCCTTCACAACAAAGAAAAGATGGACTTAAACAAATTTAAAGGAATGAAGTTTTCATTAAAATCAAGACAAAGGGAAAGTGAACTTAGATAGAAATGTAGTAGTTCATGGAAGCTAAGAAAATATTTCATAATTATTTAGTTGTATTATTATTTAAACAAGATATGGATTTTAATGCAAATCATTAAACAATCAAAATAATATACATTGTTGTCCACGTATCATTTGAATTTTAATATAATTTGTAACCTATAACATAAATGGCAAGAATAATAAAAGTGCAATAAAAGTAAATAACTAAAAAAATAAAAATACAACAAAATATAAATGTGTAAAGAAAGTAAATTACATATAAATAAATATAACTCATTATGAAGGATAAAACATAAAATGATAAAGGAAATCGATAAAAATTGACAATCCAAATTGCAAAAGAATTCTATTGAAAATATTTGTTCCTTATTCGTAATGTTTTTCGAATACAAGTTTTTTCACACAATTTGAAAAACCATCCTCTTTACATTTATTTCATCCTATTTATATTTTATTTATTTAACCACTAAAACACTCAAATATAAAAATAAGAGATAAAAATAAAATTAATATGATGCCAAATAAAATACACAAAAATGGAAACTTAAATCCACGAACAGTTACTTTCTTATAACTGCTCTCTCTTTTCCTCAACCCATTTTCTTGTAACATAATAATATCCATATGTGTGTATATCATGTAATGAGACCATAACTATTTTCACAAACCTCTTGATTCCATAAAAATTCTCGACCGTGGGCAGATCTTCTTGAGAGTTTAGGGGCCGTGGCCCCCCCAAAATTTTATAACTCCCATGTAATTTATGATTTTGGCCTCCCCTCCAAACTTAATGAACATTTAATATATTTACTTGTATATTTATAATTTTATCCTCTCAGCCCCTCCTCGGTTTTGTAACTTTTATATAATTATGATTTTATTCCCCTTAAACTTAATGATCATTTAATATATTCAAGTATATATCTACAATTTTATTCTTTCACCCTTTCATCTTCTTTTTTCTTTTTATATTTATTTATTATTTATTAATAATATATTATTTGGCCTCTCCAAAATCAATGGTCAAGATCCGCCACTTGTTCTCGACATCTTGTTCTTTTTGATTCGCAACCCTGAATTTGATACTCCCAACTCTTTGATTCTCAATGTTTGATTGATCACACTATATCCTCTCTTGACTTCTCATTTGTTCAATCTAATATCTCTTTTCGATAATACGCGCCTTCAAACATTTCCTCATC